TATTAATTTGAGAAACATTTGCGCAATTATCGCAGGGCCTACAAATTTAGTATCACCATCTTTTTATTCTACCGGGCCTGCGCTTTCAGAAAATATATGGTTTGGGGGGTCTTTTACAAACGCTAGCAACGCAGCAGTTGAAAATCAAATCAATAGGAAAAAAATGCATAAAATGCAAAAATGGCTTGGCCAGCTGATTTGAAAAATGTTCCGGAGGGCTTGGCAGCAAAAGGGTTAAACCAAAATTCTAAAGAGTACCCAGTGATGCTCCTTCACCCAGGAATAACACTAGCAGAGATTGTGACTTTCACGAACATTCGCTCATGTGGAATCTATCACTCCCATTTAAAATTAATGAACCTGGATAGATTTTCAATAGTTAATGTTTGGTAAAGGAGAACTATGCGGTGAGTGATTTACACTTATCCCCATAGTTAGAGCCTACATGTGACAATTAAACTGTCACACGTCGACTCTATAGATCGGGAAGTGAGCGAACACATACCGTTGCTCGCTCACTTTTCGATCATCTCCCTGCAGAGAGTGGTGACTGTCAGTCACCGCTCCCAGCAGAAATTCCCCCCTCCCCTCTCAGATCCTCAAGCGCTGACTGCAGGCACGGACAGGGGAGGGGACAGGCACAGCTGGCTGTGCCTCTGACAGCGGGCTGTGCCTATCAAATCAGCCAGCTGGGTGGATCCCAACAGTATTGTCGGGATCCTTCCCGGCTGCGGCGTTCTCAGAATATAGTAGGCAATAGCCCGCTATATACTGAGCTTTGGGTCATGGGAGGATGTTAGTACATGTCCTCCCATGACCCTAAAGAGAACTATGGGATAAAAAGGTTACCCCATAGTTCTCTTTTAAAGTTACATTCTCTGCATAATAAATAGACCTCAGTTTCCGAGTCAGTAATGGCAGCCTCAGCTTGGCCAAGTCACCGCCATCCTGACAAAGTTTCTAATAAACCAATAAATTCTACCTGACAACAAAATAAGAAGGCACCAAACTAACCATATGCATTCTTCTTGCAACTTCCAGTGCCTTCTGCTTAGCAGTTTCAACAGCATATTCTTGTGGAGCAGAAAACAAAGACTTATCAAGAGTTTCCTTGAACCATGATGGAACCACTTCAAAGCGAAGACCCTGTGTACAGGAGAAATGTGAAGGAAAAAATGTAAATCTCAAAGCTAACAAATGCCATCTACTTACAAAATAAAAATGTTTTTTAAAGCATGAAGTTGTTAAAGTAAAGCTTTCTTAAAGTGGACCTTTACCCATATCTTTAAAATAACAACAAAAACACACCTTTAGAAATGTTTAGTAATGACAATCTACAAACACATACTTCTAGATAATTGCAGGCTTGTCGAATTTGATTTTTGAATGTAAAGGTCCGCTTTAAGAAAAATATTAACGCTTTAATATTTTTCCTTGGGAAAGGTTTAAAATCCTCTTTTCTTAATTGTACAGTACAGCACACAAGATCAGTCTTAACCACGGGACATCCAAAAAGTACAACTGAGGTCTTGCAAATCTGGGAAAGATATGCCTGATGTTGAAAAGCTAAATAATGTTTGTCTATTTGACCCAGCAATGGTGGAGTAGAAGGACAAAAAGAGAATATGACTGCCAGAAGGGAGCTGTAGCATCGAGGTAGACTCGAACTTAGCCTACTACATACAGCCAGTGGAGAGAAATGTCCATGGAGTATTTTGAATCAGGACATAAGGAAGGAAGGAAGGATAATGTCCTTTTTAAGAGGGAAGGAGGAAACCACATTGGGGAGAATGGAGGCCATAGCCCTCAGAACAACCTTATCCAAGTGTAATACTAGGAACGACTCTTTACGGGATGAAGCAGCTAACTCAGTGACCCGCCTCACCAAGGTTATGGAGTGAGAAAAGCAAGGTTGGGTAGGGTAAGGAAATATGCCTGATAAGTTCAAAGGATTTCTGAAAGACCAATCAAAACTACACCAAGATTCCACAATGTCACTGGGCAATGTATAGGGGAAGCGATGTCTGTGATACCGTGCACAAATGCCCTAATTAAGGCGCTGTCAGCAGTCTTAGAAACAGAATAGCTAAGGTTGAGATTTGCCCCTTGTTTGTAAAATAGCAAACTTTGCGCGAAGTTGATTTCCTAGCCTTCTGGAGAGTAGGGATGACTGAATCCGATAGGTGCCAGTCCCTAGGGACCTGGATTTAATTAACCTAGCCGTTAAATCCAGCAACCAAGAAGTAGTACGGCTGACCGTCTCTTGGAACAGAAGATCTAGATGGTCTGGAAGGGCCCACAAAGAGTCTGCCAGGAGTCTGAGTATGCCTGACACCCACGTTCTCGCACCAGTTCAGTGCAATAAGAATAACCGGATTGCCCTCCATCTTGATCCAGTGGGCAAATGAGCGAGAAAAGAGTAGGCCAGACTTTGCATGGGGAGTGGAGGGACCAAGGTGCAATGGAAAGGCCAAAGGCAAGGGCAACAACTTAATAATGCTGCATGCCTAAAGCCAAGCAGAGGTAGCGTTGATGAGGTGGGAAAATAGGGATGTGTAAGTAAGCACCCTGGATGTCCACATAGGCCAGAAGGTCCCTCAGTTGAAGAGAGGCAATGTCTAACCTAGCAGGTTCCATGCAGATGTTTTTATTTTGCAGGAACCTATTGAAAATATTTACATCCAGAATAGGGCAAATTCTTCCCTTTGCCTTAGAAACAGTGAACACGTTTGAGTAGAACCCCTCCAAATATTCCTTGACTGGGGCAATGACCCCGAGAGAGGAACTGTTGAAGATTAGCACATACATCAACCAGCTTCTGCGGGAAGGAGGGCAAATTTGAGAGTATGATGCGGAGAGGAAACAGGAGATTAAAACTCCAGTTTGTAGCCCAGCACCCAGACATCTAGAATTTCCTGGGTACAGATAGCTAAGAAGAACCGACAGACATGCCCTCATTGTGATAGGAGCTTGTTCCCGATTAGTTTTGAGGCCCAAGTCTTGCAGTGGATCTGTGTGCCAGTTTTAGACTTAAGACTGGAGACCTGAGGGAAACAAAAGGAACTCTTCTTCATTTCAGGAGAAAAAGGCTTCCATACTGGACCCCTGCCTTCTTTTTCTGAGGTACAAGGGGACGTTTACCTCCAGCAAACTCCGCACCCAATTCGGGACCACCGTCCGTATAAAAACGCAACTGCCCTGAAGTGGTTATACCAAGATCCCTGCAGCAGCCATGATCTTGGTACCGTTGTTTACAGCCGACAATGGCTTTTACCTACAAGGGTTTGGTCAGCTATAGAGCTACTTGATCGCTTGTCCACAGCTGGGGAGCGGCTGATCTCCCCTCTGATCACTGAAACTGGAAGCAAGATTTTTTTTATCACTTCCGGTTTCAGTTTGTCATTTCTCCGGCTGCTGTTGCCAGAGAAGAAGCTGATAAAGCTTGATCTGTGCTTTATCTGCCTTTTTGGGGTCAATAGGTGACATTTGGGGTCTAATAAACCCCTGATGTCTCCAAAAGAGTTTGTATTTGTGCTATTACATAGTGGGCTTGTTAGCCCTATGTGATAGCAATAAAAGTAGGTGACATTTAAAAAAAAAATGTTTAAAGTTCCCGTCCTCACATATACGCACATACAGAAGCAAACACACGTCGGGTGCACCTATGTGTGAAAACAATTGTGCCACACGTTTCATATCACTGCGAAGGTCGGAGAACAATAATTCTGGGGCCATCACGCACTGTTAACTTTAAACTGATTAACAGTATGGGCTTTTAAAATGTTGCCTATGGGCAATTTAGGGTACCGTAGTTTTTTGCTTCTAACCTCTCGTCTACCAGGTCCTTAAAAACAGGAAAGTCCTCAACAGGGACCATAAGGGATAGACCAATCATCATACAAAGAGCTCTAAGAGCGAGTGTACAAGGAAGACCTTTGCAGGTATGGCCATTTTTAGAGACCCCAGGCTGGAGACCTTAGGATGGCTGACGCAGGCTGTTCTAAGTTTGGTATGTGCATACTGCATCAGTAAGGATTCGAATATGATCCTTAAGCTTTGGGGAGATCTCAGCAGATAAAAATTCCTTTTGATCCAAATTGTGGCCTGTAACGTGCATGGGAAGTGATGGAAGGCAAGGACTGAGGCCACTGTCACACGGGCGCCTGTCAACTGTGATCAGCAGTGGATCTGTGCATGGGTCAACGCTGTAACATCGTTCATTCTTTTCCTCCGTCTTCCGATAGAAAAAAAAAAAACTGAACTACATGGACCAATGTTAGGTGTATGTGGAGTCAGATATCAACAGACATGTCAGTTTACATCAGATTAATCCCGATCCACCACGAACAGGTACGCTAAACCGGAAGTGTTTCCTTTGGTTTTCCGAACCTGGACCAAGTCAGGGGTAATCGGATGTAAACGGACTCGCATGCGTTTAGATCTGGCTGCCCAAAAACTAACACTGTGCTACAAATCGCCCTGAAAAACTGACTGGCAGACCTGATCGGAATACCCGTCTATAAGGGGCCCGATGGTAGCTGATGGTTAACGTTAGTAAACATCGTCACTAAGCTGGGAGATGTAATCTAATCTAACATAACAGTTACATAAGAAAGCTCCCTGAGTAAATTTACCAGGATTTGAGGGAAAGTACACTTTCACCTCACCTCACCCTGTACCCTGGCTAATTTACGTCTTATACAGGGATTACAGAGGACCTCTTCCTGAGACATCTCAAACGTGAGTTTACCTATACAGTACTAGCGCTCTCAAACTTATTTGTGTATTGTTGCTCCATACAGGGCCCACATCCCCAGAAGCTCTTACTCCATGTAGTGCGCTTTTCCATTTTTTACAATTTTGTAGTAACATCAGGTCAATGTAATATTTTATCAAATCACATTACAGCAACAAATGACTGCATATGCTGTCAGATTTGGTTTGGGGCATTTTACTGTACAGTTAAATATCAATCCCTATTTACGTACCACATTGGAAAGTATATCTTGTCGACGTGGAGATGCACTGGCCAGTACTACCCTCTTCCCTGCCAACTTTGAAATTACTGGATTCAGCAACATTTCTCGTCTGTAAATAGCACTTTAGCCTCCTAAACTGACATAAAAGGGATATAAAACATGTAATCAGATGAACATCAACTGCAAGCACATTAGTTTTAGTGAAAAGTAGCAATAGTAAAAAGAAGGTATAAAAAGACAGGAATCATGGAGGCTTGAGGGCTCCGGAGTAGCGGAGAAACACTTTAAAATAACTGTGTGGTGGTTAATAAAATTACAATGAAATACCGGTAATGTCTGCTTGTCAATATAGTCTTAACCCACACTGGTTGCATATACCATCTCTTACTAATGACTTGTTGTCGTAATGTGTTTACTATGCATTACTGGGTGCCGTACTATGTAATAGTGGCTATGGTCTGTATACTATTTACTTTTATGTTTTATATCTTCTGCTGCTCCTGTATTACCTGAATATGAACAAAAAATCAATAAAAAATTGTCAATTGGAAAAAAAAATTAAGATGAAAGTACCCTGTGAAGAATGCTTTACACTTGCATGTCTTGACACCAATCCTATTTGACTCCTCGGGCTGGTCAAATAGTGGCGCTCCCCAATTGGCTGCTGTGATTTCTACTGCTGTCCCTCTTATTTATTGCAGGACACAGTAGTAAAATAGGAGTCAGCAGAACAAACCACACTGGCCAGTGGGGGATAAACTATTCCACACAGCAGGAAAGGTGAAACAGGATTGGTGCTCGGAGTTCTGCTATACAGAGAGGTTTCAGCAACCCAGACAGGGTCACTTTAAGACCCACTTTATGTACCGCTAAAGCCTAGTTAATGTTTAAAGGATAAGTGCACTTTAAAACCAAGTGTACCGGTATTTCTGGTGTTTGTTTACATCCTGGCAGCGTATGCACATTTCAGCGCCATTGATGTCTATGGGACTGTCCCCCTTTGTTTATGGCCTTGGGCACTACCCCATATGACCAGCTTCAATAAGGGCACTGTAATACACAGGCGCAGCCAGAACAAAGAGACGTGCAGTACTGTATGTACACAAGCCACAGAGGCTACGGCTGTGGGATCGAGATCTGAGAAGTTAAGGGAGGGGGAGCAGAAAGAATAAGTACACTTGTATGAAAGTGCGCTTATGCATTAACCCCTAAACCCCTAGGGGTTTATTATCTCCTATCTACATTGCCATTGGTCCCTTTCTTGCATACTTTTTGATACGTCAAAAAAAAGGTACCTGGTAACTTTGTTTCCAGGAATCCTCCAGGGCAGTATCTGAGAGATGGGATCCTCCCACCTGAAATAGGAAACACATCATCCACAATTAGAATAAAAAGGGCGGTCCCTCTTAACCACCTCAGTATTATCATAGAACCGAAGGGCAGAAAGGACCACCAGACAGTAACAATGAACTTCATGTTGAACCACACCACTCAATAAGCAGGGAGGGAATCCGTGCTGCCCTGGACGATTCCTGGAAACAAAGTTACCAGGTACCTACAGGTTACCAGGTGTGTGTCTTTCCAGATGAGGTTTAATGTCGATAAATGCAAAGTGATGGACTTTGGAATTAAAAATAAACAAATGGGTTATACAATTATGGGTATAGAGCACCTTACTACCAAGAGTCTGATCACAACAGATGGAGGGTAACTGTGCAGTGCTACACCAAAGATTGTAACTCAGCTCAGTTACTTCCTTACAGATTTTCTCTGGTGGAAACCAAGCTCCTCTGCCCAGATGAGTCCAAGGCCCTTATTGAAGCTGTTTATAAACACTTCTAGAGGATGACAGGGCGATGCACGTCCGAAGCCACCAAACATCAGCGTTATGATGTTTGTCAGCCTGTATCAGGCCCTGACACAGGTCACAACCATTCTTGGAGCTCCTCAAAGAGTGAGAGAAGTCCAAGCAGTACCAGAGAAACCTTCTAAAGCCTTGTTAGATTTAGAAGCCAACTTCTATCCGATGGATGAAACAGGAGAAAAAGAGAGGGACGCTAAACCTCTATTGATATACATGTCAAAATGTACTCTGTAAGCCTTTTATAGCTGTCCCTAATTAAAAGGCATGGCACCAAGCACTCATCTATTACCAGTGGACAAGTTATATAAACAAGCAGGTCTCGGGAGAGCTGGTGACCCCACATTCACACGAAAGTCATAAAACCTGAGTTTGAAAATCAAGCTACTTTTCAAAATTTGGAATTGGGTGGGGATAGTGAAAAATAAAGGTTTATCCTCCGCCTGCTTTCCCTCCCCAGCCCTGCCCTAGGGGCCGGCTCTGGGACACCCTGCAAAAGGGGGCTCATAAAATATTCTGTCAAGGCGACTAGAGTGGCTCTTGGTTTTTTTAAACATCGAGGAACTAGAAGACTTAACATCGCAGAAGAGTTCCCCTCGTTGGACATTATCTGCTGGAAATAGTTAAGCTTATCTCTACGCTCTATATACAAACTTAAAGTATCCTTGCCTCTGTGAAGAGCGCTACTGTATGGTGAATCCTGTCATATTCCTGAGGACAGCGGTATCACAGGCATTGTTTAAAGGGGTTCTAAACCCTCCCGTTTTGACTATATCTACTGCTATCAAGCAGTAGATATAGGCAAACAGTTTAAAAAAAAAAAAAAGCTAAAACAGCGGTTTAAACTTACCTTTTTTTCTTTGCGCGCTCCCACCCGAGAAAACGAAACTGTTCTGGCGGCCGCAAAGCATCTTGGGGCGTGCGCATGCGCAGTTCGGATTCTCAGCCGGGAGACGAGCAGAGACGCAAGGTAAGTGTATGGACGCGTGCACCCGCATGCAGACACCGCTGGATCAGAGAGACAGAGCAGTCAGCGCTGGATCAGAGAGCCGCCGCACCGCTGGAGGGACAGATGAAAACATCAGGAAAGAAGAAGAAGATCGGAATAAGAGACATCATTTAAGGAAAGTGCTAACATTAACATGGGGGGAGGGAATTTTTTTTTTGACTTTGATGTCACTTTAAGTGTTTTAAATTGGCGCAGCATTTGCTGGGCATGGTTTTGTGTTGCCAGTACAAAAAACACATGGTGCCAGTGAACGCTTGTGGGTAAAGGGTTTACGGAGTTAACCAACCCTGGTGACAATCGCTCTGTCTGCAGGCCTGAGATTGTATCCTGCGAGCTGGGAAATCTCTGTGCAGGGTGCGGCTGAGAGTGGTATCGCTCACGCTCGGTTCAGACTTGTGTATAGTCACGTGGGAATGACGTACAGCAGGTTTGGGCCGGGCGTGCATCACAGTTAATAGGGACCACCCTTTTTATTTGAATTGTGGATGATGTATTCCCTGTTTCAGGTGGGAGGATCCCATCTCTCAGATGCTGCCCTGGACGATGACTAGGGAAATATCATGTCAGCATGTACTGATTTAAGGATCAGCATGAGAGCCAGGCAACTAGCATTATAAGAAGGTGGGTAGACTCTTTTCCCTCGGAGCTAAAAATCCGAGGGACGAGCAGTTTTCTTTGTTCCTATCAATTTCTTTATTTAACCTGAAATCTTTTCCACTTCCTGGTGTAGTGAGGCACTGGTGACGTAGCCAGGGCCTTACAGGTGTCCCCTGGGACGGCTGCATCACTAGAGCACGCTTCCAAACTCTTTTTTTAAAATAGAATGTGTGCAATGTTGTGCAGCGCAAGCAAGATGAGGCATATATGTCATGGGCCTAATCTCCCAAATGCACCGTACGATATTAATACGTATAATAATAATAATACACTTATGTGTTGAACAAAAAAAGCCTTTTTGTCATAGGTGGACCAGCAAAGAGTAAAGAAGATGGACACCGATCATTTTTTTTTTTTAATGGTGTCGTGACTATCCAAGCCTCGGGGCGGACACAGAGCGCGGAGACTGGTGCATGAAGGAGGCACATATGTACTATTAACGTTACTAGTTTTAGTAAATAGATTGCATTAGCGCAGTCAGGTTTATTAAGAGGGCGACTAACTACCAGCTAACTTTGGTACAGTAACCTTGTTTTTTTTTACATTTTCTTTTGCAAGAATGTATTGGTGCAATGCGAATTATAATGTTTTCACATATTTACACAGCATTGCAAAATACAGAATGCCTAATCCTTCGATATACTGGAGATGGGGGTCAGCCAGTGAGTGAAGGTGAATCATGACTGCTCTACGGTTTGCTCATCGAGTTCAGACTTTGGTCAGTGCTTTTCAGAAGTCAGATGAATGGCCAAAATGGATGTTTAACCTGTAAAGCATTATCTGGCTACAATTCAAACATTACATATTAACAATTGGAATATGTGGACATGACTGTAAAATCTGTGAAACACTCATTTCAAGATTCATGTCAAACAGAAGGAAAACTGAAGAATAATGTACACGGAATCACTTTAAAGAAGAAATCCAGGCAGAACTTTTCTTAACCCTTACAGTGGGGCTACCCCCGCACTGCAAGGGTTAACTGCTCGTTTTTTTCTAGGTGCTAAAGAAAAAAAAAGTTATACTCTGGGTCAAACATCCTGTTAATCATCACATTCTATACACAATGTATAGACATGAGGAGGCTGAGGAACATTCCAAAGCTGCAGCGTAGGAGGAGCGATTGGAGAAGCAAGGAGGCGGCTCAGATGGTCTGGGGACAACTTTTATTTTTATTTAGCCCCAGCCAAAAACTAGCACTTAAAGTGTTATTAAACCATCGGGTTTTTTTGCATCTATATACTGCTAGCAAGCAGTAAATAGATGCAAAAACTATTTATTTTTTTAAAACCGCTTTAAAAAGGTTATACTTACCTGTGTCTTCCCTGCGCGCTCCCGTCCGAAAATCTGAAAAATCTCGGCCGGCCACAAAGGATCTTGGGGCGGGCGCATGCGCAGGAGAGACACAAGGTAAATCTATAGACGACGTGCACTTGCATGCAGACACCGTGGGACAGGAAGTGCCAGCAAGCACAGAGGAGTCAGCGCTGGATCGGAGACCTGCAGCAGCACTGGAGAGAAGGCTGAAAAGGACAGCAAATGTCACTTTAACCCTTGCAGTACAGGGGTAGGCCACTGCAATGGGCAAGTACTGCAACTGCAATACTGTTGCCCAGAGTACACATTTAAAACATATGTTCCGTATCTTCTTCCATATTCTCTGAACTCGCTGCACATTTTTACATGATGAAAGTAGAAATGCAGCTGAAAGTTTTTCCTGTGTTGGATAGTGGTGAAGGGTTTTTTATTGCTCCAGGCACAAGACAAAAAACCCTTGCAGTGGTGCAAGGGTTAAATACTTGTTTGGTCCACACCTTAGTAGTGCAGCAACCTGTCGCGGTCCCTCAGCGTCATCATGCACAATGTAGACGGAGGAAACGAGTGTGCGACAGTGGCTGGGTGTGACTTGTTGCTCCTGTGACAAAGATCATCAAGATAGGAGGAGGTGAGAGTAAATCTCCAGTAGGCACACAGATGGCACTAAACACCAAAGGCTTGAACATCCCACCAATCAGTAACTAGAATAAAGGTATTGGTTGGAGCATAAAAATGTTTGTTTTTTCTGTGTGACCAGTCCTTGACTTTGTACCTGTCTCCCAGATAACAGGCCTGCAGAGAAAAGAGATAATGAGACAATGGATGGTATGTAGGCACAATCCAATAAACCTTTGACACCAATGGCCCAGATTTCTAAGCATAAAAGGTAGGTTTAGGTGTCTGTTCAAGTTTAAAGTGCAACTCCAGGAATTGTCTTAACTTGGTCCAGCTTGGCTCCATGTAAGTATCCATATCTGAGGGCCGCTGGGAATGCTGAAAATCACTATAGTAATCCACGCTACATACAGCGATAGCCATGATCTTCCGGGTTCTGCTTCAGCAGCTTCCCCTATGCACTCTGAACGCAGGATGTCGCTTGTTCACTCGTCATCACCACCATTCAGAGAACGCCTGGTAAACTTTTCAATGATTACAAGGCATTCTTTGATTGGACAAGGTGGAGAAAACGGTAGGATGACATCACAATCTCCACCTCGCACAGAGGATACCTTGTATTCATTGAAAAAAATACAAGGTGTTCTCTAAATGGCGGAGGTGCCAAGCAAGTGACTTCCTGTTTTGAAGGGAAGCTGCTGAAGCAGCACTCAGGCATTCATGGCTATCACTGTATGTGGCATGGACTACTACAATGATTTTCAGCATCCCCAGCAGCACCAACAGATATTAATAGTTACATCGAGCCAAGCTGAACCAATATAAATTTCCACAAAGGATCATTTCTGAGTTCCGCTGTAAACATAAACAGACACCTAAATGTACCTTTTATGTTTAGGGATCTTGGGCAATAATGCCAGAGGCTTTTGAATTCTGTCTACATACCCAACCTTCATTTATTGTCTATAATCTAATGTTCTCTGTAGGCCTGTTATCAGGGAGACAGATACAAAGCCAAGGACTGGTCACACCGAGCCAAGCTGGACCGAAGTAAGTTTCCATAAAAGATCATTTCTGGAGTTCTTCTTTAATACATGTTCCAAAGAGGTTCCCACCGCACTCCTTACTGGTATGTCCTTTTTGAAAGTGGGTGCTGCAGTGATAGCGCCACAAATCCAAACAGTAGAGTATAACACCAACATACCAAAGTAAAATCTTTGTACACGTCGTCATAAAGCAACGTTTCGAGGCCCCGAAAGGTTGCTCTATGACGAGATGTGTGAACATCAATAAAATGACCACTTGTTGAAGATTTTACTTTGGTGCATTGGTGATATATTTTACTACTTGTTTAATACATGGCTCAGAGATGGGAGGCACACAGACTTATGACGACAAAACAACCATAACCACGCAGGTTTTCTAACCAGTCCCATGATGAGCCTCTGCTAGCAGTGTCCTTGGTGACTACTAGATATCAGATCATCACCCAAGCTGGTCAATATGACTGGATTGGGAAAAGGTCATATTTTTGGGGAACCTTAAAGTGCCCTGTACCAAAATAAAAAGCAGAAAAGTCTCCCCTGTAAAGAGGAGA